AAAACTACCGATTTATACAGCTAATTAGTTGCATACTTAGAAGCAGTTTGATTTTAATTCTTTACACCTTTTCCTTCTGATACCCATTATTGAAAACCGTTTATAACCCAAGATTATTAATGCAATCAAAACCAGACAAAGCGTCAATATTTACACACCCATACAAAGCGTATTGTAATTACCACACACAGCTATAAACACCGTACGCATTTAATTACGCTTCAGTGTACCCGACAATGTCTACGTGAATGTAGATATAAGACATCAGTCAGTTTCCATTAAATCGTTCGAAGCCCCATTGAGTGCTCCCGTTGTGCATGACAGTATACTTGTTCGAATCTAATCTGTTGACGAGGAAATCGTGTCGAGTTACTTGCACATCGTACAAGGCTGTTTACCCTCTTGTCTGCCTAACTCAATTATTGCGGTCTAGATATCTTGTTTTACTTCCATTCAATGACTTGAAGGCAATTGATAGGCACATAGGTTTGATATAAGAGTTATATAATTACATGGTTTCACATTTATTATTGCTATTCTTTTTTTATATTACCGGCCGCCGGTGCAGCATAATACTTTCGTGCTACATCAGACTACCGCGTTCATCCATAATGCGTTTCCAAGGATATTTTTTGCTACGAATCATCCGGATTTGGATGACATCCCCTTTTCGGTGTTTCCTGACTACTATGACTGTACATGTCCTTCTTCAACCGAGGTTTGCAGAGAGCATACAGCGGTACAAACCGACTTCGCTCTCCTAATAATGTTAACTTCTATGAGCGACGCTTAACCACTCACTATCCGATGGGCCGATCCGATGGATGGATCCGATATGCTTGTCTGTCTATTAGTTGGCTTTGGGCAATTATAACATATATTATCCGGTTGCAAAGGAAATAGTCTCAAAAAGTAAGACATACGCTATTTCCGGTTATTCGATGCTACACGATAGCATTGGTTTTTATGTTCACACAATTATACAATAGTTGACGAGGGAGCTCTTGCGAAGCCTTGCTTGCAACTTGTCATTTTGGTTACTAGCATTCATACAGCATTCAGCTTTGTAAGGTCGTTTATTTTAAAATAGAATTTGCTATCAGTTATAAAATACCGTTTCCTAAGCCGAAAAGGTAATAATCTATAATATCACCCTAGAGAAAACGAGAAATAATATTTATTAATTAAATTAAGAATGAATACGTGTCGTTTTAGTGAATTCATGTTATTATTTCGTGAACGTGCAGTGTAACGCTAAGGAAGCTGACAGCTGTTGCCCCGCGATCCCTCGGGACTGTCAGCTAAATAGGGGCGAAGACAATAATATAGAATCAGTGTAATAATCATTTGTTATATAAAGGGTATTCTAAAAAAAATGTTGTTTCTTAGTTAATTTTTACAATAATCGTCGTGGCCTAAAGAATAAGACGCCCGGTGGACTCCTATCGCTACGGCTATACAGCGTGCAGCTATAGGAGTACAATGGAATTTAATTCCCGACAAGGTAAACTTATGTTTGTTGACGCTAAAAGAATTACTTCATGTATCTAATCAAAATACTCACGGAGGTGAATCCAGTGTGACCCCTCGAGGTTACTAGAATAGGTAGGTAGGAAAAAAAAACAAAATCAAACCCGCAAAAACTGTATTCTGCGTAAGTACTAAACAATTGAGACATAGACCTCAAGTCTGAAGTTGAGTGACGGCATTTACATTGTGATGTCTATGGGCTCCGGTAACCACTTAACAGCGCGAGCTCGTTCAACCGTCTAGACCGTTGAACCCGTTCGTTTCAAAATGCGATTCAATATATTTAGGTACTTAAGTTTAATATAAAAAAGCAAAAACTTCCTAATGGAACGATAATCAGCAGTGTTTTTTTTTATTGCTTAGATGGGTAGACTAGCTCACAGCCGACCTGGTGTTAAGTGGTTACTGGAACCCATAGACATCTGCGACGTAAATGCGCCACCCACCTTGAGATATCAGTTCTAAGATCTCAGTATAGTTACAACGGCTGCCCCGCCAAACCGAAACGCATTAGTGCTTTACGGCAGAAATAGGCAGGGTGGTTGCACCTAACCGCGCGGACTCACAAGAGCTCCTACCACCAGTAATTACGCAAATTATAATTTTGCGGGTTTAATTTTTCTACATGACGTTATTCCTTCATCGTGGAAGTCAATCGTGAACATTTGAGTACGTATTTCATTAGAAAAATTGATGCCTGCCTGGAATTGAATTTCGAACACTGGTCCATCGCTCAACACGAATGCACCGGATGTCTTATCCTTTAGGCCAATTTTGTAAATGAACCCTTATTAGGTATATATTTATACAATTTCTTCTTTTTCTATTTCCTATAATACTTACTCCCTGCATTAGGGACGGATGCTGAGGACACGTATTCTTGCTTTACGCGTTATCGCGACGTTAAAGAAACCTGCAGCGGCCGAAACGCCGCTCTTTGTAACCTCACTTTTCATAGGGGGTATTCCGCCGACCATGGACAAAATATAAGTGGGCCACGAGTGCCCTACTGGGTCTAGAATGGAGGAAGCGTAATTTACAGCAACCGCTGAGATGTCGTAATTTACAAAAGCCAACGGTCGTGTGCAGCCTGCAAGACCGGTTGTTGTGGCCAAGCTTGGTCGAAGCCTATGTCCAGCAGCAGATGCACGTGATCTAGAAAAAAAGGGTGAAGATTTTTAAGTTTAGGCAGTTGGCTATTGTTTGCTTGAGTGTACCAGGCTCATCACAAACCGGAAGAAGTGGCGATTGCTCGTGAGGCGCATAACATCGGCCCGCAGCAATGATACTGAATGACGACCACGACCGCTGTGACAAGAGTGATAAGACAAAGGAGAATAGAAATTTCTTTACCCGTATAGTTTCAGAACCCATTTTTAGAACCAGTATGGTTTCATAATTGTGACAATAATTGACTAATGAATCATTACACCCAAAACCAAATTATAATATACCTAATGTTCAAATCCAGAAAAACCTCATTTGTTTTCAGATTTTGAAACAACGTTATCAAGTCATATAAAAAAAGCCAGAATCAATGAGACTTTAATTTATCTTTTCGACTTTTAATACTCATTTTTTTATGCATGCTTCATTCAAATTCGAAACTAAAAAATTTAAGCAATATAAAAAATAAATCAAACTAAGTAATCCTGAAATTTTGCACCATGCAGTTTTGATTTTAATTCGATGTGATCAATGCATTAAAACTACTTCACACTTAAAATCCTGTTTCACCAACGGAAGGAAGTAATTTAGTTATTTAATTATTTTACTTACTTTAGATCGTCTAGGTAAAAAAAAAAAACTATTGACGAGATTGACTAACGCGATTACGCTGAGGATCAAAAATGATACGGTAGATAAAGAGCTAAGGATAGATAGTAAGGTAGTGTTGATAAGCAAGTACCCAATTAATCTAAAAATTTGAAGATTGGGATAGCTGTTAAGACATTTTTTTTCGTTTTACTTTCATACATGTCTTTGTCTTTGGGCTCTATGCAATTCTATGGGTTCAGTTAACAACTTACTACCAGTTTAGTCATGAGTTCGTCTACTAGGCAAGATATCTATCTGGGGGCCAGGGAGGCGGATATCGCCCAAGCCCTCTAAGTGTTTCGGGTCCCCTCACATGTCGGCCTGGGGACCGGCGAAGGGGGCCTAAGAAGACGACGTGCAAGCTGCTCTGCACGCGTTTTATACATGAGCATCCGGGTGATGGAAGGCCGGCTATCCTCAACCCACGCTGGTTCTGACCCAGCGGGGTATTCCGTAGGATAGACCATTCTAACCGGCGCCATCTAGGCGGGCTTCGGATAGCCTGCCGACCGAGAGGGCTGGTGGTCGTGGCGCCGACGACCGCCAGTCCGGCGTCCCGAGGGGGAGGGTGATGGGAGAGATGTGCTCCGCACTAAACGCTTCACTTTCCCCCCTTTGCCTTTTCATGAGTTTTGTCTCATGCGAGGTTTGGACGTTGGTTGTTGAGAGACAGGAGGTTTTAGTCGGTTCGACTCCGACATGCCCCGCCCTTCATCCCCAGTGAAGGGCGGAAGTCCGGCGATTTCCTCCTGACAAAAAAAAAAAACCTTCTTACAAACCGTCATTCATTAATTTTATAACCACATTCTCTTTGAATTGAACCATTGTCATTCAAAATGAAAAAATAAACAGGAAAATGCACTATCTAAATTATAAGTACTTTATGCAATTTTAAAATACTTTTTTTAATCATGTTCACAAAATCTCAGTGCAATCACTACTTTAAACCAATAGTTCGTAGACTTGGGTCGTATAGAACTAAAGACGAATACGATTGTTATGTGGAAGGCTACGTTAAATGTTTTTGGAGTCTCTGTGACCGACATAACAGCATCGACAACTTCACAGAAAAACGCAATGAGAAAAGTAGGTAATTGATTAGTGTATTTAAAAGTAATTTCGTCGTAAGTAAAAATCTAAGTTCTTTACTGGTTACCACGCGTGGGTCTTCTGTATCGTTCCTAAACAATTATGAATGGAATTAAAGCAAAGGCCGTGTCTCCGGGTGGCCTCTAACGCGCTGTGTGCTTAGTGCGAGTTTTTTAACGTTTTCGATAGCGTAAAATTTAGATCATTGTATGGACTGTGATCGTTTGCCTACGTTTGCCGCTAGGGTCGCTGTTCCAACTGCATACAAAATTGGGCTAACTTCTACGCTATCGAGAACGTTAAAAAACTCGCACTAAGCACACTGATAGCCCACCACAGAAGAAAAGTTTTAGATTTGCCTACGGTCGGTTGCGCCAGAAGTCTTAGCGCGTGTACTTTCTTAGTGAACGTATACCAGTTGATGACCTAGCTGTCATTTGCCTCTGAATTGCATGTCCCTTTTCGGCCTCTGTAAATCCTATTAACTATTATACGGCGGAGGCGTACTGCTATAACCAACGTAAAAGGACCCAGTAACATGATAACGCGTACGCATTGTACAGGTTCGATTAAAAAAGTATTGGCAAAAATATAATATTTTTATTATAACGCTGTAGAGATGGTCAAAAATAATTTGTTTTTTCATTTTGCAGTCATAACAAAGGAACCTCGGAAGCAAGAATGGCCTTGCAAAACACATAGGGACTTTAAAATAATATTTTTAGAATAAGAATGTACGACGGAATAAAAAACTGTTTTGTTCTAAGAAAAATTTTCGTCAGCCAAACTAATCTGTTTTTCATTTAATACTTGTCTAACATTAATGTTAATTCTGGATTCCTTGATGTAATTTTCGAATTCACTCCACTTGTCGTTTTCTATATTTTCATTCATTGCTTCAATTGTTTCTTTCGGATTCGAAATGTACATAAAAGATGGCATTTTATTAAAATCAAGCTCCGAAAGATCTGAATTCCATGGTTGATGGTATTCCGGTAATATTTTAGGCACAGCATGATAACACAACCTTGCTTCTTTGGACATTACAACTATGTCTCCACTTTTTAGTAGTATCGCTGATGGTTCGATGTACTTCTCCCGGCCCCCTATTAAAAATATAGCAGATTGGCCAAAACTGAAAATAATAATTTTAAAGGATTTACTGGAACTGAACACAATTCGAGTAACTATGGCGGGTAGCCATCATACAATGCAAGATATTTGACAGATGCCTGATTCTCGCTTACGACATTTTCAAGATAAGCATATATATAAGTTCCGAACAACATTCAGACAGTACATTCCCGATCCTGCGGACAGAATGGAAAGCAGTCGACGTTGCCCAAAGCACGTCATCTCGGATCCTCCCGATCCACTAACGGTGCTTCTAGGTACTTCAAGCACCGGTCACCGTTCTCGTCGAGTAAATTAACTCTCAGACACAGCCCACTGAGTTTCTCGCCGGATCTTCTCAGTGGGTCGCGTTTCCGATCCGGTGGTAGATTCTGCGAAGCACGGCTCTTGCTAGGGTTCGTGTTAGCAACGTCATCAGGTTTGAGCCCCGTGAGCTCACCTACAAAAGTTAGGGTTACGCTGAAATAGCCTCTCAAGCCTCTCTCTAGAGAGCTAATGTCGATTCTCATAACATTAATCTTTGCTGACCACTCTACGAAACATACTCTATGACTCCCCCGCCATATTGTCTACGACGTACATGTTACACACAAGTAAAAACTGTGAATGATTGTGATTAACAAAATAAAAATGTAAGCCCAATCGTAACGTTTGTCATTTATAAAGAACCCAAACATTACATGGTGTCAGAATGGCAACAAATAACAACGAAGCAGTCTCCAGTATTAAACCACCCGGATACTTGCACATCGAGTCGGACAACGAGTCGGCAAATTGGAAAAAATGGCGACAACAGTTCGAATGGTATGCAACCGCAATTCAGCTAGGAAAGAAACCTGCCGATATTCAAGCTGCAACATTCATGTCAATCATAGGACCAGATGCAATTGACATCTACAACAGTTTTAATTTGAATACAATAGACGAACAAAAATTAAGCACCATTATCGGAAAGTTCGAAGAATATTTCGCGCCGAAAAACAACATATCGTTCGAAAGGTATGTTTTCTTCAAAATTGAACAACATGAAGACGAATCGTTTAACGAATTCATCACTAGAATTAAAACACAAGCAAACAAATGCGAGTTTGGCACTCTACTTGAAGAAATGCTGAAAGACAAGATTGTATTCGGAATAAAATCAANCTTCATGTATTTCCGAATTGATTCGAGGCCCAGGTCGTCGTGTAGGTCAACGTTCCTCACGAACCACGGAGCCCCGACAGCTAACCTGCAAAAGCGGGATTGTAGAGATTGGAGGGTGTCTATGTGTGTGCGGGCCGCGTGAGCGAACACCACACTCGCGTAAGTCATGACGGGCCTTATGCAAGTTTTGTAAAGTGTCACCTTGCTCCGAAGGGACATTTTACTCCGCTTACAGATAATGGGGTAGAGTCTACCGAGAATAAACGCGGCACGGTCACGGACTGATTTTATATGCGGGCGGAATGTCATCGATGCATCCAGGGTAACGCCCAGGTACTTGACCTTCCTAGCCCAGGGTATGGGTTGTCTAAAGAGAGTAATCGGTGGTGTGAGATTCCTCCTCCTGATCCGGGAGGAAATCCGTGTGGAGTTTAGTACCTACGGGACGAGTCAGTTCACACTGCGGGTGCGTCTTGCGCGGTGCGCCCGCGCCCGCACTCGCACTCGCTTCCCCGCTCCGCTGTCTTGCTCCGCTATCCCGCTCCGCTTAGCAATTTTGTATTAATTTTTAAAGTAGTTCGCAACTCCCTCTCCACTAAAGAGGAGCGGAGAATCAAAATCACAAAATTGCAAAATGATTTTGTGCAATCTTATTGGTTAATATTTCTGTTTCTCCGCTCCTCTGCCTCGCTCCGCTCCGGTGGACAGGCGCCCTAAACATGTAATATTTTTTTCTACATAAAAGGTACATAATAATATGTATCATAAGTTCTTTTCTGTACCTACATACCTCTGACATGTATAGGGATGCAAATTTAATAATGATCTATTTATTATAGGTTTGTTTTTTCTTTTAGAATTATCTTTAATTCAACATAATAACTACGCTACACTACTATGTACGCTAGTGGATATTAGTTTTCATAAATAAATTGAAATATATGTAATTGACTATATATAGGTAAATCATTTCTCTCATTGACAACAATCTATATTATTATTTAACTGATGTAATTCCTGATAAGAATACCTTAATTTTATTGGAGCAACGTAACTACCTATACGTTTTTCCACGTTTTGTACATAAATTATTATTCAGATTATCATACTATATTATGTTACACAATTTATCGTGTATCTACGCCTCGAGATCATAGACATCATAGGGCTCACGTACACTTAAAATGGGATTTTTCTTGCTTTTCTTTTAAACATGGGCTCTTGTTCGTTGTTATATGTATCTTCATTTTGAATTTGCATTTTTGAGCCATAATTATTAAAATCATTTCACAGAAATACGTTAATACATTAAAAACAAACAAATAAACCACTACAGGCTTAGAAAGTACCTAAATGAAAATAATGGTGCATCTAAGTTGACCTCTGAGTGATCAGTGTGAGCGGACAGTGTAGAATTCTTGTGGTAGTAATTAACAATAGCCGCCTCAGCTCTAAATTTCGCAAATCCAAGATACTGAGCCACGACACTTGACAGTTCTGACAAATCTTCTGGGAAAGGGGTCTTGTTCTCTTCACTATATGCCTGAAAATGAAAATAAATATTTTGCAATATATCAAACAGTTTATTAATCTAGAGTTGTTCTCCTATTTCAAAGCACTATATTAAACTAATTAAGTATATTATAATATATTAATGTAACACTATATTATAAACACATTTGATTAAATGATCTGTATGCAATCAATCAAGTACAAGAGGGTATGTAAATATAAAAGCACGCTGTGTATATTAGCGATTTGAACGACAAAGTACACTGGATTAAATGTTGGTACATTACTTTCCTATCTTCTTAACATCAAACCACCCCCTACTGAACTGACACTACTGAAGCAGAGTTCACTAGGTTTAGCTGGGAACACTTGCTTCTGGTATAGTGCATATTTATCTCCCTTACAACCATGTAGCATTAGTATTATAAGATAAGCAGCAGTGTGGTTCCTAACATTACTAATATCCATCAGTGGCAGTGGCCACTTTCCACCATGTAAACTGAAAGCTCATCTGCTTACTAAGCTTATAAAAAAATTCTAAGAGTCTAGAATTATTAGTGACTTCTATTAAAGGCACATGCAGTATTAACTTAGTGTAATTGTGGGAAATATAGTATAATAGATAATGGTGCCACAGATATCAGGTACCCAAAGGGTTATGTGGGGCCTTTACACTTGTAATGCATCTCAATAAATTAATTGCAGGTTCCATGATAATCATATACCCATCACAGAGTACCTTTGGATGAATTTCAATTACTGGACAAACCTAGAGGTCATGAATTTACCTGCTAATCTAAATAAGTTTATTCTAATTTTTTTAAAGCTCAAATAATGTTTTAAATTTGCAGACTTGCTACAAACAGGGCAAACAAATATTATCATCTGATCATAATTTTTAATAAATTTTTTTTTTTCGTTAAGTGTAATCTCATCACATGTTTCTTTAAAACAAAACTAAATTTCATTAAATAATAATAATAACATTTTACTTTTGTGTTCCAATTGTGATGATAACCCAATGTTGTCCACCTAAGTTTTTTTAACAATTTTTTATCACATTCCATACTTTTGTGACATTCTCTCCACCAGTCATCTAAATTATCAATTTCTATATCAATATTTATTTTATTCGGTTTCTTTGGATATCTTTCTAAGCATCTTTTGATCCAATATCTTTGACCAGATCCAGTGAATGGATTCCTTATTAACATTAAACCAGGGTGCTGAACAAAACTGTAAGTTTTCCATTTGTTTTTGTTTATCAAACCTAAGCACTGTGTAAGATTGTCTTCACATTTATAATTTGTATTGCATTCTAAAAGTTTCACCTGAAAAATAAATGCCAAAGTTTAAATTATGCTAATGTTATCATTGGCCACTAAATACTACAATCAATAATATTAAATTGAACATGTGTCGAAAATATAATTTAAACTGGTGAGCAAAATTAGGGGTAAAATTCAACATTCAACATTTCACATCTTTCTAAAAAGTGGATGAATTTATTTATTTTTTGGCTATACGTGTACATATACATACAATATACATTGGGATGTTCTTGTTTCACTCGTAAAATATGTGTCCTAGATGTCTAAAAGCAACTGCAATAATGGGTAGCTTCATTTTGCCTTCAAAGGCTTTGTGGGCATAGATGTCCGGTAACTACATTCCCGATATCCTGCGGACCGAATGGTATGCAGTCAACTTTGCCCAAAATACGTCATTTCAGATCCTCCTGATCTACTAAAGGTCCTTTTTGGTACCCCAGGTACTGGTCATCATTCTTGTCGAATCCATCGCTTGCGACGAAGAGCTCGGCGAGTAAATTAACGCACAGACACAGCCCACTGAGTTTCTTGGCCTGATCTTCTCAGTGGGTCGCATTTCCGATCCAGAGGTAGAATCTGCGAAGCACTGCTCTTTTTAGGGCTAGTATTAGCAAATCTTCTCAGGTTGAGCTCGTAAGCTCAGCTACTCGTCCGGACGTAACTGGAATAGCCTCTTAGGCCTCCGGCAAAGGTTAGAGGTTAGCTCTAGGGTCATTAAAGAGTGGAAACAAATACTTTTGTATAGAGGCGTGTAGAGTGGTGTGTACAGAAAGGTGTTGTATAGACTAAACGCCGTTCCCTTTTAGTTAATTTGTTAAAAGGGATTTGGTAATTTACCTACCTCTGAAGTAGTAATATCCACAGATATGACACTATTGAGAGATGGTTGTGGTTTATTAGATTTAAAATATTTAAATTGCTTCATAAACAAATCTACGCCTGTACTCTGAGACATAATAATTAAATCATAACATACAATATGTACGGTATGTACTTTTCGGAATTTAACAATAAATTTACTACATATCTTTACTATGAAGTTGAAGAGCTGTCAGTAGTAGTTTTATTTTTCAAAATGGAAAGGCAAAGGCATCATACCATACAGCCAAATTTTTTGTAATTTTTTTTTTATTTATGAAATATGATGTTATGAAATGAAATGAAGTTGATTAATATGAAACATGGCATGAAATGAAATAAGATGAGATTTTCGGTAGGCAGCGGCTTGGCATTACTGAAGTCCATGGGCGACAGTAACCACTCACCATCAGGTGGGCCGTATGCTCGTCTGCCTACAAGGGCAATAAAAAAAAAAGATGATAATATAATATGGGATATTTTTATGGAAGATGATAATATGAAGTGAAATGAAATGAAGATGATTCATTTGAGACATTAATCAACTGGGACGAAATTAAATGAAATGAGATGAGATGATATGGGATGAAATATAATCTCAGTAAAATGGTGGTCGTTTACTGAGATTTTTTCAGTGAACTTTTTGGAGGATCCCGAGAAGTTACGTCCAGCGGCTTTGTTTCATTTTCCCACATTTGTGCACTTTCACAGATATTAAACAGTTAATAAACCACCGTTATTACACATTTAAACCTGAAGAAACACTAAATAGACAAAATGAAACAAATCACACAACTTCACTCCTCGCGTTCCCGCCAAAAATCCTTGAAGAGCTGTCATGACAAATAACAATAAAAGCATAATTTATTTAAGGGTTTTTATGACCTGGTAACTAAGACCAAGTTTAGGACAAGTCTTATTTTAATTTTAACGAAAACTTTTTTATATAAAAAATGATATTATGGAATGACATGAATTTGATTAATATAAAACATGGCATGAAATGAAATGAAATAAAAACCAAATGAAATGAAATGAGATGATAATGAAACTGCACAAATGTGGGAAAATAAAACAAAGTCGCTTAACGTAATTTCTCGAGATCCTCCAAAAAGTCCACTGAAAAAGTCTCAGTAAATGACCACCATTTTACTGAGATTATATTTCATCACAAGATCGGATGCTCCACGCTCGAAGCTGTTGACGAGTTTATCTGGGACACACTGTCCAGCTAAGTAAGTCCAACTTCGAAAAAGAGGTCAACCGTCGAATCCAGCTCGGATGGACAGCGTTCGGGAAGCTATGTAAAATCTTCTCATCACAAATACCACAGTGTCTCAAGACGAAAGTCTTTGACCAGTGTGCGTTACCAGAGATGACCTAAGGCACTGAGACGTAGACGCTCACAATGGGCCTTATGAGAAGAATCAAAGTCACCCAAAGAGCAATAGAGAGGGCTATGCTCGGAGTTTCCCTGCGAGATCAAATCAGAAATGAGGAGATTCGCAGGAAAGCCATGGTAACCGATTAGCCCAAAGGATTGCGACATTGAAGTGGCAGTGGGCAGGACACATTGCTCGTAGAATCGATGGCCGTTGGGGCCAGAGAGTTCTTGAGTGGCGACCGCGTACCGGAAGACATAGCGTGGGTAGGCCTCCAACAAGATGGACCGACGACGTATTTCGCGGGGATGCGCTGGCAGGCAGCGCAGGACTGGTCTTTGTGGCAAGGCTTGGGGGGGGCCTATGTCCAGCAGTGGACGTCTGTGGGCTGATAAAAAGAACAAGAAGATATTTCATCCCATATCATCTCATCTCATTTCATCCCATTTAATTAATGTCTCAAATTAATCATTTTCATTTCATTTCATGCCATGTTTCATACTAATCAACTTCATTTCATAATATCATTTTTCATTTATAAAAGTTTTCTTTAAAATTAAAATAAGACTTGACTTAAAAGTCTTAGTTACCAGGTCATCCCTTTATCAAATATCAATGAAAATCCCTTTATCAAATAGAATTACAATATTTTGAGAGTTCAAACTTTCAAACCACTGAAATAAAAACCTAAGGTCTATGGTTAAAAAAATATATTTGATTTGGTCAAATTATGTTTTACCTGACAGATAAAAATGCTTTGAGTGTAACCATGTACCATATTTGACTGGCTACAAAATAATGCCGTATAAAAATACTTCCAGACTTTAGCAAGAAACTCGTTTATTGTTCAGGGAAAAAGATTTGAACAAGCTAAAGAAATGAGTAATGAAGGCAATAAAACGACTTCGGAAGCACCTCAGGTATGATAAAAATAAACTCACGTCTACAAATAAAATATACATAATAATATTTAGGTTAGCATCGAAAGTGATAGGACTTCTTTTAAAAGAATAATATTGTATGTAGACAAGCCAATTATATATTTGCTAAATTTCGCCTCCCTTCATTAATTGATTTTACGCACATGACTTTTGATTCAGGCTTTTTTAAGATTAATACAAGTTGTATTCCTATTTGGCCTTCCAGAAAAAAATCATTTAAATTTTTGATGTTTACAAGAGATAAAAATAATTTCTTTTAAACATTTTTTGATATTTCAAACCTCTACATAGACATGATGGATCAGCTAGTACCTACTACATTTCATTTAATAATTGTATACTTCAGATGGTGGAGGAAGAAGGAAAGGCAAAACTTAGAAAATGGTTAAATATGAAATTTAGAATTGAAATGACTGATGGCAGAGTTCTGATAGGAGTGTTCCTGTGTACAGATAGAGATGCAAATGTAATTTTAGGTATGTATTAAATACTTTTATAGAGCTGTTGTAGGTTGAGTGTACAATCTTGTAAAATTAATTGAATTCACATATTATATCACAAGTATGTAGGTTTACCATCAATATATCATGTGCTTATATATAGCATGGTTGACAAAAATCACACAAACAAATATTATACATTTAAAACCCCAAGCTAGTGTTTGTGGGGTATGAGCACAGAACGCCAGAACTTAAATAATAAATAATTATCCTTATAGGCTACTAATAGTATAAGGCACTTTTTTGCTGGTGGTTGGACCTCTTGTGGGTCCATGTGGATAGGTACCACCACCCTACCTATTTCTGCCGTGAAGCAGTAATGCGTTTCGGTTTGAAGGGTGGGGCAGCCGTTGTAACCATACTGAGACCTTTAGAACTTATATCTCAAGGTGGGTGGAGCATTGTAGATGTCTATGGGCTCCAGTAACCACTTAACACCGGGTGGGCTATGATCTCGTCCAACCATCTAAGCAATAAAAAAAAGGCAAACATTGAATGCAGTAGTGAAATTAGCTGATTATCAACATATTATCCTTTTGTCTGTAGCTAATAAATGGATAGCCTCAAGTTGTACCTATAAATTTTTATGATTGGTGAAATACCTAATTTTGTTACATATAAATTGCATTTTTAGGTGCTTGCTCAGAGTACTTGAAAAATAATGAGGGAGAAACTGAAGAACCCAGAGTATTAGGTCTAGTCATGGTGCCTGGAAGACACATTGTGTCAATACAAATTGATGATACAACACCATCTCAAACATACTATTATGATGAATATCTAATTAAATAAATGTTATTATAATCGAGTGCAAATAACATTTTTTTCTTTATCTCATATACTTTATTTAGGTTAATCAGAGTTCTTCAAACTATCCAAAAGTTGCTGCAAAACATCTACTTCTAAGTATATATTTTTAAGGTCATTAGCAAATGGGTTAAATTCATTCTTTTGTTTGTTATTGAGATTTTGCAGTACTTCAGACAAGTCATTAGAAAGCATTTCAATTGCATTTGGTTCACAAAATAAACTTTCTAGAAACTCTTTTTGCATAATTCTTTTAAGGCAGATATAACATTGTTTTTCGGCACATTCTTGACTTATATATTTGTAAAAAATGACACTCAAATTTCTGACATCCACATCTTCATCTTGTAATAAAATAATGGCTGATTTCAGAGAGTTAATCTTCACCATTTTAGGTAATTTCTTAAATACTTCTGCAACTTTATTATTAGCTAATGCAGCTATGTGCCGCATGTTTACATCCATCTTCTCAGGATCAGACAATTGCCATATAATTTTAGAGAAATGCAACTGAACTTTTTCTTCTAAACATTCTAGTACTTTTGCTGCTAATGGAACAATGTACCTAAGTTTATATGAAAACACCAAGTCCACTGAATTGTTTAAGAAGGAAATAATTTCAGAACTTTTAGTTAAATCAGTCCTTAGAGACACTTCAAATATAATTTTCCAAATGTAACTGCTTTCATATTTTTTGTTGAACTCCAGTAAAGTATTTGTAATTTCTAAGAGAATAGGTTCGGAAATAATCATATCCCTTTTCATTTTCAACAATAAATACTTGAGACATCTATCATAACCCTCATAATTGAAAAACATTTTTAATAAATTTGGAATTTCAAACCACGGACACGTCCGAAGATACTTTTGTAAACGCGCATCTGCCCAAAAAAATACTCCTGGTTCATACATTTTGTTTTCTAAAACGAAAAAGGAATCTTCTATATCATTTAAAGCCAGAGGTTTGTTACAAAATATATCTTCAAAGTATTGTTTACATAAGTATGAATGTATTTTATTTGTTAAAATATTTTCAATATAACTTTTCGTCTTATCAAATGTATCCATGTTAAAAGATTCCTCTGTATAATGTTTCAACAACATAAGTGTACCATGGATAAAATTTTCAGAATTAAATTTTCCATATGATAATAAACCAACTTCTTCAAATTTAAAATTATTCGAAATGCATTTAGCTGATAACCTTCTGACTATATATATTGGACTACCTAATAGTAGTATCAAACTTGTCAACAATTCGTCAACCTGTGATTCGCAATCAAAAGAAAGATTATATCTCTTAGCGCAACTGGCCAATAAATTTAAAATGGGTACTAGATTCGAATGAGACACTATTTGAATAGATTGGCTCTCTATACGTAATCGGGTCGTGATCATCTTCCACAGTCTTGGAGAATGAGTTCGCAATTCGTCCCAAGCTACCGTCGCAATTGTATTATCGTCAGTGCCAAGGGCCTTTTTTTGTCCTATTTGTCGTGGAATCAATGCACCATAAAGTTGTAAAGCTGCGTTCCTATTATAAAAATAAAACAATTAGTTTCGTTTATCGAAATTAATCTAGTATAAAGCGGTTTGCCAGGGCCCAGACACCGAAACAAGAATGCTGTAGACTATCTTAATCTTTTTAGGTTGAACTAGTTGAACATCGGAATAACGACCATCTTCAATCGAGGCACGAGGCAGCGACTTGGCTGTGCCTCTGGCTTTGCTAAAGTCCATGAGCGACGATAAGCACTTACCATTAGGTGGACCGTATGCTCGTCTACCTACAAAGCCAATTAAAAAAACTTCAAAACAGTATAGTATCTTTAACAGTCATTGTTCTCAATTCGTCGAGTTCGCCATCGAAGAGCTCATTTCGGCTATGGAATGAGCTCCCCTCCACGGTGTTTCCCGAGCGCTATGACATGTCCTTCTTCAAACGAAGCTTGTGGAGAGTATTAAGCGGTAGGCAACGGCTTGGCTCTGCCCTTGGCATTGCTGAAGTCCATGGGCAACGGTAACCACTCACCATCAGGTGGGCCGTATGCTCGTCTGCCTACAAAGGCAATAAAAAAAAAAAGAACAATGACTGTTACAACCGTACGGCCTACACCTTATATTTAAATTAGAGCAGTAGATTTTGGTACCTTGTTAAATAAGTTGAGGTATCATTTGAGGAAGTAAGAAGAGTAAATGGTAATCTCATCTACTTTCCGATTAATACCTGAACATATTATCAATGTGTAAGATCCTTTGAGGTATTATTCATCTAAAAAAATTACCTTATTTGCCAATGTTCGCTGGTTAGGTTTAAAAACGCCAGTTCGGAGAGCTCTGATGAGTAGTACATTACGTCACAAGCCAAACTGCTGTCAGTTACTACTTTTGTTAAGAAGTGGATGTAGATAGCTTTAGGTAAATCCATTTCGTTTTCTAAAACGGAAGCATTGTCTTCTAGTGTGGGTACATCGTGTACGGAGTTACACAGCTCCAATATGTTCTTTAAAAAGTAGTGAAATAGCGGCTAGAAAGAATTAATCGCTTAAGAGATTTGTTAGGTAAAATAATATTCTACCATAATTCGTGAACAAATTCAAATAACCTTTCCCTTATTCATGTCACTTGAAACAATTCTGTGAACCATTATAGGAAGACCTGCTCCTCTTCGTGTTATGGATGCCATATTATAGACTTTAGATATCAACTCGTTTAATTTAGATTCAAGGAAGCTATTCATTGAATTTAAAATATTCGACTCCTCAGGTAAAGATGTCAAACATTGTATAACTTTTCCTGAAAATTAAAAAAGAAAAACCTTATTTTTTTAATAAATTAAAAGATATATCATGCTATATATTATGGTACCTACCTAATGCTGCACCTGCAGCTTCTATTGCCCCTTTATGTCGTGATCTCTCTAGAACGTGAGTAATGAGTTCTAAACATTTTCTACATGTTTCAAAGTCATCCTTATTAAATTGCACCAAGAGTGAAGCTAAATCACATGATGCCTGCAATATATGTACTTCTATTTAATATTTTGATTGTTATTCAAATTGTTCGGTGTTGACACATCTCAGGCGAGAGGTCGCAAGACTTGGCAATGTTCTAGATTTTTAGGCTAGGGGGTGTTAAACGTTTAGTGTTTTATTAAAAGGTTGGAGTTGTGCTTACTGAAGCGCAATTCTCGTCAGCGAAAATGACATCGCTCAAAATGATATGTGAGGATTTTGACTTCAATGTAAGGCAAGCTTCAGTTTGCTTAGTGCGAGTTCTTTAACGTTCTCGATAGCGTAAAAGTTAGCCCAATTTTGTAGGCAGTTGGAACAGCGCCCCTAGCGGCAAACAATGGCAAACGATCCCATTCCATACAAATATGAGCTAACTTTTACGCTATCGGTAAAATTAGAGATAATCTAAACCAATATCATCACATCAATATAGATTTGTAATGTCCCACTACAAATATGTACAAATTATGTAAAGGGGGTTTATATTATAGTATACGCATGTTCATAGTTTTTTGTTGCTAACTAAAGTAGGTAGGTACCTAGATGAGTGTGCTGCAGCCCACCTAATCCCACTTGACTGGGAGCTACAGTTGCTCGTTAAATCAATGATACCGCTCGAAGTGTCAATCTCGAAGGAGTCTCCGTGAATCAATGTTCCTTTAAGGAGTACCTAGGGCTACTCATTGAAAAAGCGGCAAAAAAAGTATTGATCCTGGATAAATCTTCTTCACAGTTCTAATATGTTATGTTTCACAGCTAATATACAAACTTGTTTTCAATTACCCTACTAGGCCTGGGATATAGGTCTCTCACCAAATTTTTGTTCATACAGACTATGGTTTGAGTAGTAAACTGCTCCTGTAACGAAATGTATAATAACAATAATAACCTTATTTAATTAAAAACTTACCTTAACGTTTAACCAAAGGCAATTCAAAACAATTTGATGTATGCCTGAAATTTTTACTTCATCGTTTTCATTATAAGCTGAATTTTCAGATTGAGCTATCATTCCCTCAACCACTTCGCTCATTTTTGCAAAATCTGAACTAGTACAATTATCTTGCTCCCAAGTAAATTGATTGGTAGTATATTGCAAAACACGAATTAACTCATGAATTGTATCAGTTGATAATTGTATGTTATATGAGTTGTCAATACAAACTTCTAGCACTACTATCAAAATATTTATGAATGAATATAATTGTGTCTCGTTTTCAATTGAAGTCATTATATCCTTTTTGTATTCAGATAGTAACTCATTATAAGCATAGTTGAAAATTTCCTCAATGCTTTGATACTTTGTTTCAATGTTTCTGGGTATTAATAATAAATTACTGAGTAATTTCAACATACTTTGACCACAATTACTTACAAAGAAGAATTTACTTCTAATGCAAGAAAGAGCTTCTGTCGCCAAATTGTTTAGGAAATTCGCATTTTGTATTTCATTTAAGTAGTATTTCAGTAATAATTGAACTACATTTTCTCTTACATCATCTGAAGGATCCTTCAAAAGCTTAATTAATATCTCAGTCATTTTTTCTCCACCCAAAAACCATTGCTTCTCTGTTTTTAGATAATGCAGTAGAGATGTGTTAGTCTGTCTTATCTGTTTTTTCTTCTTTCTAGGAACTTCATTGAAGCACTCCATAATCAAATAAGTCAGTTTAACTGCTGTTATTTTCCTTTGATAATTGCCATTCAACTCTAAAGATTCAAATACTATTTCTTGCAAGCTTTTACAAAAGCAAATGAGATCTATTACATCACAATTTTTGTAGGTTTTCATATAGTTTAAATAGGAAACGTGTAGTTGGTTTAAAAATGATTTTAAACTTCGCATCATATTTAATCTCAGTACAGTGCAGTCTGAGTTCATATTGTTCTTTAAGTACTCCAGAACATGTGTGTATTCCCTTTGTATGGGCAGTGATTTACTATGTGAAACACAAACAATATCGAAAGCGTCTATACNATCACAATTTTTGTAGGTTTTCATATAGTTTAAATAGGAAACGTGTAGTTGGTTTAAAAATGATTTTAAACTTCGCATCATATTTAATCTCAGTACAGTGCAGTCTGAGTTCATATTGTTCTTTAAGTACTCCAGAACATGTGTGTATTCCCTTTGTATGGGCAGTGATTTACTATGTGAAACACAAACAATATCGAAAGCGTCTATACGCAGCGGAGCAATTTTGTGTTCCAAAGCCATCTCTACCGTATTCATGATATTATTTGAGCCGCTGTACAAATTCCAATCTTTTTCAAAAATGCCAAGTTTATTACCTTGTTTTATGATACACATCAAAGCATATGGTTCTTGTTTAAAGTTGTTTTTCATTATCTTTTCTATGAACACTCCCAGTAAAGTTGGAAATCTTTTAAAAGTTGTTAGACACCAATAGTTACTGAAGTTTTGAATAGATTTCTCTGTTCCTTCTTGAAAAAGGCTAATGGTGGAGTTTAGAAAAATGTTGCACCATTCGGCGACACATTTTATTCTTTTCAAAATTGCAAAATACATATCAGCTCCAGCAGACACCAAGCTGGGAATATTGAGGCTGCTAAAAAGGCCCCGAGCCCAATCATTTTCGGACATTAATACTAAAATGTTTTTGCAGTCTACGTGAATTACTTCACAGAGCATTAAATACTTGGCCTTATTCCAATAAAATTGATTAATTTCTTTTAGTGTTAAAAGGTACAATACATCATCAAGAGTAGTTAATAGAGTATTAAAAATACTCTTAAGTAGATCTCGTACTCCAGTAATGGGGTTTTCCCAGTTATGATTGATAACATTCATTAATTTAATTTGATTGTCTCTCTTAAAAATTGTTGTTTGCCATTTAGTATTACATACTTTTTTAAATGATTTCATTATTTTAAAGGCAAGAAAAGTGAATTGCGTGTATTCATATCCCATTATAATTAGTAAATCAAAGGTTAATTGCAAAACTCTAGTAAAATTAATTATATCTCCTGCACACTGAGAAGTAAGAAAATTTGATTGGAATAAACCATACATTAATGCAATGTTGCATTGTGAAATTTTCAAATTGCCAGGTTTTAAATTTTCAATCTCAAATTCAAGAATTTTTTGTATCCCATTGATATACCTATCACAATCATCAGTGTAAGAAGCAATTGTATAAAAGCATATGGAACATAATAATTGATCATCAATTTTGCTAAACTTTTTTTGCAAGGAATTCCACAATAAGTTTGCTATATTATTCCATGATTTACAATGCTTCCCTGAATCACACTCTTTTGCCATCAGTAAAATTTTCTGAAATTAATTATTATGTACATGAAATATACTTTTATAAAAATATATTTGAGTATCTGTAATATTTTATTATTATTTGTTTGAACTACTCCCATACAAACTGTGTACTGTATGTGTTCTTTATGAAAATCTTCACTAAAATGCCAATAACGACTTATGAATTTATGAAACACAAACAAACAAACCACAAAGTATGATTTCATATTTACTCGGCCTCATTACTTTTGTAATATTCCAACAATTTAACTTGTTATATTTTTAATACCTGTAAAATTTCCACTTTTATTTCTTGTTTGGTTTCATTTGCACACAACAAGATCTCGAGAATTTCATCCATTCTAGTTTTTAAGTCTGAAATTAATAATAAAAAACCCATTTAAAATAAATTGATTCATAAACAATAATTTGTGTATTATCTTACTATACTAACCTATATTTATACAATGTCCAGTTTAAAAAACGTATTCTATTAAATGGTTTGGACAATAAAACTGCAATTTCAAATCTATAATAATTTACTACTTAAACTAAAAATATACAACAAAAACATATTTTTTAAACATATTCATTGTGAATCTTTTATGGGTTCATAACCCTCTTTTTGCATTTTTTCTTTAAATACATTGAAATCTCGTTTTCTATCAAAATGCGTAACCCATTGGGTAGGGCAGGACTTTTCAAATATTTTCCTAAAGTTCGTACAAGCTAATGGTTTCTGTGAACTGTCCTTGATATTCTGAGAGTCTAAGCACTCCCAGTATTTATCTCTGGCGTCCCAGCACTTTTTTCTTTGCTCTTTATCAGGAAAGGACATCCTTATCTACGTAAATTGAAATCAAAACCTAAAAGAGAGTAAATTTGTGTAACTTATATGGTTATGCTTAACATAACAGAATCCTTTATTTTAACTTACTTAGACAAAGCTAGCGATAGGTTTCGTATATTCCCAAATATTTATTTAAATGTTTTATATGTTTAAACGAATAAATAAGTAAATATTCTCACTTTAGTGATAGTATAGATATTAGATGTCAGAATTCGGATTCAAAGAATAACCTAAAAACNAATTTGTGTAACTTATATGGTTATGCTTAACATAACAGAATCCTTTATTTTAACTTACTTAGACAAAGCTAGCGATAGGTTTCGTATATTCCCAAATATTTATTTAAATGTTTTATATGTTTAAACGAATAAATAAGTAAATATTCTCACTTTAGTGATAGTATAGATATTAGATGTCAGAATTCGGATTCAAAGAATAACCTAAAAACGTTGTCAACTTGACACAGTCTAGTAATGTCAAATGCCAATTTGACGTCAATGTAGTTTGAACTTCTGAACATCAAAACAGCCTTGTTTCTTATTTCCTACACCTTTAAAAGTGCTAAAATTGTGTTTGTTGACTACATATTTCGGTCTCTTAAACCTATGACTTAAACGGTTTATGTGTTTACTGTAAGAGCGAAGTAACATAAGGGAAGCTAATTACACTGAGACTGGTTAGACGTCGATCCCGATACGTTTTATGAAAGTGTACATGAAGCCAATATAAAGCCTAGCTGAACTACGCTGTAAAATTGCTGCAGTAAAAAAAATAAACGCAAGTAGTTACATACGATTGATCAAAATATTTTTTCTGAGGCAATGCAAAGCGTGTAGTCGTGCCGAAGACAAACAATTTGAACACTTAAGTTATTTTAGGAAAAATAAACTGATTACAATATTTTAACGAATATTTTTGTCGAGTTTTTAATGCCCCTAGTCATCTTGACAATCTTGATATTTTCATTTATAGAAACAGAAGCAGCAATTGTACCATTTGTGGCGTTTAAGAACGCACCTTTTTATGATGCGTAAGCCGGAACGCACGAGAGGTGGGAAAGTCAGGGAAAGAGAAGATAGTCTGTGACACGGGACCTTCTTACCGCCAAAAAAATTTAAAACGTAAAGTATATAATTTATACATAATGTGTTTATTATGTAACTAATATAATATTATATAATAACTTAGAATTGTTTATACCGCTACAACAATAAAATTTCTATTGTTTCAACCGTGGTGTTAATTACATAAAACACGATTTTACGGCGAAATAAAGGGACTCTATTTAGATTCCCTCATTGGTGACCCCAACGTGATTTGAAAATTTTAATAAAATGAGCTATTTTTTATCTATCTTTCCTGGGGTAGTACAGTACTTTTTTTATAAATACGGTTTCAAAGCTAACGCTTAAAACGCTTTAACCATGACTTAATAAAACTTTTTAATTTCTATACTAAATTCACACTGTTAATTAATGGGTTTGTTGCTGCATTCAATAGCATCGTTTTTATGGATTTCATTTTAAAGAAATCTCTGAAAAGTTATGAAATTTACGATCACACCTGCTAAATATAAGATGTTGATTATCTAAATTTTCATAAACTTACTTATTATCACTTAGCTGGGTGAAATGGATTTTGGTTTTTGTTTTTCCCTGAACTAGTAGGTACCACTTAACTCGTCACCCTGTACCCGTGACTTTGAGTTTCAGGACACCCTTATAAAACCCGAGTGAACAAGCCAACGGCCTGTGTACATATCTATAAGGTTTTTTTTGTCAGATCCCTGGCCCCCGCTCGACGGCGGCGGGCTTGTGCGTCTGTCACGCCCCCTGTCGCCTCCTACGAGATGGTGCACTCGCAGAAGTCGAGCATCGCCTTCCACGACTCGTCGCCGCCGAGCATCGATGCCACAACACTCGGCAACGACAAGTCGTTAAATATCAATAAGGCTGCCCCACTCTTCAAACTGAAATGAATTACTGATATTCAGCGGTGCTCTGTTAAACCCGTGCAAAAAGAGGGCCTATCAGCTGACACTGCTGACAGTCGGAGTCATCGACCTTCGTAATCATTCTTTTAGATTGATGGTTCGCACAGTACGGACATGCTAAAACAATAACGAATAAGTATAATATGTTTTTGTATATATTACAATCGACAAAAATTAAAATTACTGACTACTGTACATTATTGATCATCCTAATTGCTTAATCAAATTACAAACACTTTGCATCTTGTTCATAGTAAAAAAATGGAAATGATTTATATTAATTTGTTCTTTTAAATCTTGAACCATTTTCTTGATTACTTCACTGCAGGGAGCCCCTGATTGCTCTTTACTCTTTATAATATTAACGAAATTATCAGAAACTTTTCCTTTGCACATATTTAGAAATTTTGCTAATTGATCATAGTTTTCGAATAGAAACACTCCTGGTAATATAGGAGCTTTAATACCGCAATTTTCACATTGTTCGATGAATTTCTTTAGAATTTCAGGTTCGAAAAACGCTTGAGTAACGATAAAGTCAGCACCATTTTCCAATTTTTGCTTCAATTGCAATAATTTTTCATCTGAACAATCTGGAAAACCAGCTATGCCTATGCAGAAGTAATCCCCTGTTTTCTCTCGAATGTACTTAATAAGTTCTGTAGTGCTTTTGAAGTCAGATGTGTCAGGGTTGTAATTGTCTGTAACACAAACATAGATATCCAATTAAAAAAAAGATGATTTTCTTCTTTATTGAAACCTTGTGTTTCCGCACCTAATCAACAAATTTTATTGTTTTTCGCCTTCTGATAGTGAAAAAATTCTAATACAGATAATTAAAATTCCGTAAATTTGAAAACAATGATTAAAAAAATAACATACCTCCTAATATAACGAACAAATTACAAATGTCTTGTTCTTTTAAAAATATCAAGAGTTGGTCCAAATAGCTCATTCTCAGCAAATCACATGTTAAATGCAATAAAACATTTTTTCCTTTACTCTTGAGAAGACGCACAGTTTGAAGTGGATCGATTTCCAGATTTTTACATTGGTGAGCCTTCGCGTGCCATGTTACGGAGAAAAATACAGGGCTCATCTCCAAAGCATTGATTTCATCTTCAGATATATTCGGAGTTAACTCGAAAGAGAAAGTGAAACCGGGAATGTTTATTAAGTCGGTTATTTTCTTTCTTTCTGATGACATTTTCTGTACCTTAAAGTTAATAGTATTATATATATATATATTTTAGATATTTAAAACAAATTTTTATCACAAAAAAACTCACCAGCAAAAGTATAGTGTAAAAAGATCAATATGGCTTTCCAAAAAACAGAAAAATTATACTTTGTAACTGTTTAATATAAGTAATGAAAGAGTTAAAATAGTTTCGTTTGGATCTTATTGTACATAGAAATTTTACAATTTCAAATTAAATACCACATTAATACGACCAATTATACACGACCAAATGCTTTCCGACCTCAGTATCGTAATGATGATAAGCGCAATATTGTCCACATTATGTCATTAATATTAGGTTATCGGATAAAACGAATTATGTTCGCATTCAATAGTAACAAGAAGAGTGTGTATTGCTGGTCTAATCATAACTAAAAAAAACTAAAAAACGACTGCAACAAATACATATCTTATTTATTACAAATAAACAGTCCTCTATTTCGATAAGTTAATACTTACTGTCGTCAACGTATTGTTTTATTCTTATTTTGACAATAACCTATCTGGTCACGAACTTAATGGTCACTGCCATGGACACCAAAAATATTACCACTACAGATACATCACGACTAGGAATTTGAACTTGCATGGATTGTGTATCCTTTATCTAAACATACGTGGTGTCATTTACATTACTTGGAGACTCCGGATAATAGAAATAACTTGAAATCGGTACTCTCTTGCAACATTCACTTTTTTTTTCTTTCTACCTATTCTAGTAACCTCGAGGGGCTATACAAGATTCACTGAGCGAGTAGGTGAGCTCACGGGGCTCTAACCTATGGACGTTGCTAACGCTGGCTCTAGCAAGAACAGTGGTTCGCAGAATCTACCACCGGATCGGAAACGCGGGCCACTGAGAAGATCCGGCGAGAAACTCAATGGGCTGTGTCTGTGGGTTAATTTACTAGCAGAGTTCTTCATTGCAAGCGACGGGTTCAACGAGAACGATGACCGTTGCTTGAGATATCTAAAAGCACTGTTAATGGATCGGGAGGATCCGATATGGCGTGTGTAAACATTCATTCACCATGGACATTCAAGTCTACAGAGACACAAATTCCTTTTACAGTTTCAATTATTCAAAAATTTAAAAAAAGATGTTTTTTTTGTTTTAAGATTGAGGGCTTGTTGGTGTCCCCTAGGCCTTTCCAGTTTCACAAGGACAGGAGGGCGAGCAAGGGCTCAGCTAGGAGGGGCGTGATTTGCTAACAGCTACCCAAGCGCCTCCAAGGGAGACCTAACAACTCAAAAATAGCTGCTTCACGAATAAATCTACTACTGGATCGGAATCGTGACCCGCTGAGAAGATCCGGCGAAAAACTCAACGGGCTGATGTTGAGCTAGGTTGCACATCGAACTCTTTGCCGAGTTCGACGATTACGGTGATCAGGGTCCCTAAGCCTGCTCCTAGTGTTAGAGTTAAAAGCATCTAATGCAAGGGTTATTGGATCTGATGGATCCGTAAGGACGTGAAGATAATGTATCACAACCTTAGCTAGGCTTAGTATCTCTTTGCTCAAAATCTTATTTGCTCCTCCCATCAGACCTTTAAATCTTTCATTACAATAGTAAATCACCCAACCTTCAGGGTATGATGTGGACAGCGTATATATTTGTATGTTTATATTTGTCATTTGCGGATAAAATACTAATAACAAAACAAAAAAAAACATATAAATGATAAGCAGAATTTAATAAATATAAATCGTGGGAAATAATACCGAATCTCCAACTCATCTATTTATAGCAATCACCATTTTATAATTTAAAGAAATATTCAATTGAAACTCATTCATAATATTTTGATGTATTTCTTTATTCTGACCGTGTAGTGTATTAAGACAATCAGCGATACATTTTTCACAACCCAAATATAAACGGATTACAAAAAATCCCTACAAAGTTAAATAATATAATTAAAAGCTCCAACACGTGTACAACGAGTATAGCAGTTAACTACGTAAAATTTTAGTTATATACTTATTAAAATTTAAGGTACTACAATTTTCTACCCTTTCAACTATGGAGATTTTCACGATAATGTTATCATAATACGATTGCATTGTTTATTCAGTGTAAAAGCTTCCAAACAACTATAGCTAAATCTAAATACATATTTTAATTATTAATAATTCTTACGTATTATTGTAACATTTTGGTAAAGCTTTATTTTGACAAATTGTCATCGATTAGGACAATGTATTCAAAGACTTGGTATTTACGTTGGTAGATTTAGGCAAATAAAAAAGTAGGTATTTAGGCCAGAATTAAATATCAGGTTTTCATGTTAAATTCGTTTTAAATTTACGGTAACTTCCAGAAAATCTTAGTAGGGTTTTTGCGCTATGACTACAATTTTGGATAAAATACACATACTTGAAATACTATACCATAACCTTAAGATTGCGGCATTATGTGCAACGATGCTTAGAGTAATTATTTAGAATGTTCTTTAAATGACAATAGATATTCTAGAAATTAGTAGGCAGCGGCTGGGCTCTGCCCCTGGCATTGCTGAAGTCCATGGGTGTCGGTAACCACTTACCATCAGGTGGGCCGTATATTCGTCTGCCTACAAGGGCAAATAAAAAAAATCTGATCTATTTTTCATATGGGAAAAATTGATTTTTGGAACACTAGGATAGACTACAAAAAACTTAATTTGTCCAGTCTTCAAGAACCTTACATATCTAACACGAAGTAATTTTAAAATGAAGGAAATCGAGACAACTTAAAATCATAACCCGTGGAATTCATAATTAAAAAATCGGGTATCCGTTAAATGCCACTAATTCTAGGCAAACTTAGTATCATCGTCTTGCTTATTTCTGCAAAATAATCATACATTGCGAATCATTCGCAAACGTCGTCCTACACTTGCGTGTTTGCGTATTCGTGCGCATGTGTGTAACCGGTGTTAGGCTAAGCTTTAAATATAGATTTTGTGTTGCAAATAATGTACAATATTTCCTTCAAATGATAACAACAAGCACTAATCACATTATTTATGTGACGGCAAACATGCGTGTTTAAGGTGTACAAGATAGTGCAATACATATTTCATTTTGTTATCAATGTTATAACTTTAGTTTTTTTTAAAACGCTGATCGATATTAATGCATTTTTATTTATGCTAGACCAACGCCAAATGATCGAAATTCAACCATAATCTAGTTCTAGTCTTATGTACACATTCACTTTTGTTTTTTATTGACATTTTGAAAAAAAATCTGACTATTTCTATAAATAAAATATTGATTATTATCAATAACGCTTAAGCTCATCAATAACTACTAAAAAGATAGAAAGAGAAAACCGTTCGATCAAGGAGATTCCTAACTTTGCATTATTATTTTTTTACGAAAAATGTGACTGATTCCAAAAAGAATGTTGGTAACACTAACACTCGCGAATCGATACCAAACAAACAAAACGATAGATAAAACCAGGAGAAAACGGTAGGTAAACAAAAAATGGTACAAATCTGGTTTTTCAATTTATAAATTACTATAGCTTAAACGTGATATGTGTAACTCTATTAGGCTTAATTTTCCTTGATTTTATGACGCACAATCTGTAGATACACTTTTATGGCAATTTTAACACCAAAAAAATTCGAGTGTATACGCAAAATCATAAGGACTTTTATGATCGTTGTAGCAAAACCATCGATCGATCATTAAGTATTCCTTATTTAGCTTGTTAATTTTGGGCCGCGAAAAGATAGGTACTACATACTGTCTTTTAGAATTTGAATGTCATCAGCGATCTTAATTGACACTGTATTCAGTCTTATTTCCAAATCAATTTAGAGGTAGTTATTTACAGTTTCATTTTTAAACTAACCAATCAATTACTACATTATGTATCTACCTAAAACGAACAAATTTTAAAATTTACCTATAAAATCGTATCGTGATAGGTCGAAATCCGTAACGCTATGCAAATACTAATCATAATATCATAAATATTAGCGCAATATAGATAACGTATGAAGTCATACCGAATGATACAAAAAATACATTTTAAATTTGTATGAAGTTACTGCATCATAGCTCGCGTATAACTTATTCACTGGCCACATTTACTTTTCTAATTCTTCTACTAAATATAAAACACGTCTTATTCCATTAATACTATTTAATACAATATAATACTCGTACAATACAAAGTAAGTTCTCAAAGTAACCCACGTTTTAACTCGCCAGTAATTTCAAAAATCAATAGGTGATATCGCACATAACCATTGATTAAGTACGTAGCATTAGCATCTTTCTTTAATAATCAAAAAAAAAAATGGAGACTTTTGAAATTAAATTATTTAGGTAGATACATTTAGCAAAGGATTTAGCATTTTTATATACTTATCTCTATTACTATTAATTTTAAGGTCGTTGTATTAAATAACAAATAAAATTAATAAATTACACACTATGATAACTTATTCTAAGCGATATTGTCTGTTCGTTTATATTATATTTTATATTAACTACTCATCGAAATAAATATCAACTGGAGTGTGTTCAAGTAAATCTAATTACTAATTTTATTAGGTGCTTATCAATAACTTGTTCTAATATCTAAGTTTAATGATATTCCTGTTGTTTGTATCGTTGATAAAATGTAATTTTAATGAAATATTATAATGAAAATAACGGTTTTAAAATGGACATATTTTTACAAAACCAAACGAATTTTCTTGGTTTGTTTAATATTACAGAATGCAGCAAAATTCTCTTATGGACGGTTTTACCAGTTATAGAAAAGAATATTAATCTGTGATAAAGTTACCAAATCGGAGTCTTTGGTTGTACAGTAATGTTATGGTTCAAATTCAGCTGCAGGAAGGTACTAATGTTTTTAAAATAAATACGAAAATAATGAGTATTCACATTTGACTGCGACGTCGAATGGATAGTATCATACAATAAATTTATAGAACACAAAAATGAATATCTTGT